AAAATGACAAGAGAATTCAAATACACAAACTTGTGTCTGTTATTGTTCGCCATAATATTTGGCAGGAGCAAATAAAATCAGATTAAAACCAAAAAAAGCACAAATTCCAACTCTATACATTACTGTATGTGTTTCAAGATCCTAGTATCTCATTACATTAGCATCTCTGAACATTAGCAAAATTACTTGGTCCTTTGATTTATTGCCTAGTGGCAATACGCTCAGCCTATGCTCTATTTTTTGGACACATATTCATTACAGATTTTCTGCAGTAATCAGATCCTTTAATAATTGTTTTATGAAAACCTGCTAAAATACTAAAGGAAAAAACATAGACGAAACATAAAAAGCAGGTATGAAGTACCTATTTTCTTGATCAACAAGGGGCTGACTCACACAGAAACCCATCATCATGTTTAAGAGAATCCAAACCAGATCAAGCCACATATGCATAGAAATTTCCCCATGTCTAAAATGGACTGGAGGGACACACCTTGCTTTCCCAAAGCCAGAAAACGTTAGGCTCAGTTTGACAAGAAGCAAGGCTTGGAGACCCCAGAGAATGCATTAGGGTACTGTGGTATTGTGGAATTTAAGCAGCTGAAACCTTGCCTTTCTGGCAATCTTTCTGCTGCTTGTCCAGCTAGGTCTATCCTAAGCATTAGTGCTTTGGTCTGCAGGGTTACCAGGAGCCAAGTGGGAAGAATCCCTGCCCAGTGACTATTCTGCTGACAAGTCAGCCTGGCTCAGTGTGTTGGAAGTACAGCGGAACATTCTTGCTCAGGAACCGGACTGCTGGGACCACCACGGAGGTTTGATGTGATTTCAACATTCCTTTGCCAAACACATCACCTTGGAGCCAGCTCAGCTCCAAGGAGACCCTGCTTACACCCTCCCCCTATCACAAATGGAGGAGAATTACAAATATAAAATATCTTAAAGAAATCATTGCTCTTGTATTTCCATTTACATTACTAGTAGTATTTTTAATAAATAACCAAATTGTATCTCCAGTTCATCCCAAAACAACTTTGGAATACATGCGGTATGGCTTTAGCTGACAAGAGTAGATACCATCATTTTTAAATGCTATCACAAAATAGAACGGGTTGTATAATCACATTATTAATTATGGTGAAATAAAAATAAAATTAGGATATTGCTCATTTTATAACTGCTGATATAATAAAGTGATTATGAAGATTAGTGTGACACCCACTTTATCTCACAATCAAAATCTCAAGGTTGCAGCTCACAGTAATACCAAACATTTGAGTAGTTTTTTTTGCAGTTGCTATAGTAACCATCCCTTTGACACATTCAACAGCCTCATCCTTGACAAAAACACTTCTGAATGTTAATTTGGAAAATATTATATTATTTACTCTAAAAACTCCAGTTAATTCCTCCTTAACATCACAAAACTGACAGTTCTACAAACAATGCCAGAATATGTAGATCTTCGTAATGATAATAATCCTTGAATTTGAAAACTTGAGTAAACTTGTGTTTTGTTTCATGTTTACATGCCAGAAACCTCTGACTGCACAGACAGCAAAGATAATTTAGGCAATAACAAATCTCACCAGCCTTTGTCAGAGAAGAAAGCTATTTTGGCAAAATGAATCACAAACACTCTGAGGTTAGCTGAGGTCAACCACTTAACTTCAGTAAATGATTAACCAGTCATTCACTGCATTGGAGAACAATTATTGAAAAGAGCTGAAACTACATCCACAGGATGCTCACACAAATGTGCTCTTCAAGGTTCATTTATAATACCAAGAATGGATAACCTGACAGATTAGTAGTGAAACTTAAAACTTTCATAGACCACATTGTCCAATATTTTTTAACAAATATAAAAATACAGTAGACATCATAGCACTGACTCTTTTTTTATTCCTATGATTAGCCACAGAATAACATTTTTCTTTCACAACAATTTAGCAAATGGCCAAAACATGGTTTAAGGTTGAACAATTTAGCCCTTGGCCCTAAATATTATTACTTTTTTAAGTTAAAAATTTAAGGTCTAATTTATACTGGTTGTGATTGAGACTTCTCATTTCTTTAGGAATAACTTAAAGCCATGCTACATTTCATTTATGTTATTCTCAATGTGTTGAGCTAATTGTTAATGTTTGTCAAAACAGCAGTGTGTCATTTTGTCACAATGAAGCTGTTCACAAATAATGATATGATGTTTTGATGCATTTATGGCATTGCCTCACATAGATTCAGTTTGTAAATAAAAGTAAAAAGTTTGCCAAACATTTGTCATGAAGACAATATTCTGTTTTCTTTTTAAAAAAAAGTTCTGGATAAAGTTTGAGGCACAATATGAAACTGTTAAGTATAAACTTGATTTACTGCCTTGATTCCCTCTAGTTAACAAGCTGCTATTGTTAGGGGTACTATTTGTGAGAAGTATTGAAGGAGAAAGAAACAAAAAAATTGGTTAAATCACACTTGGCTATTCTTAAATAAATCTCCAGTGCCTTTCATGCTTAATAGCTCTCAGTAACATTGTATTAATTAAAATATTTCATTAAAGTAGGTAACTTTGGAAAAATACTTTTCATCCTCTAATGAGGATTGTAATAATTCCTTCATAACTTTGCTTCTTGTAAGTTACATGCTAATTGTTTGATCCACGGGATGAAAATATTTGTTATTTACATGGAATTTTCTTTTAAAAACTAAATTAATTAAAAATCTGCTTAATTTTATTATATTTTTTGTCATACAAAGTAACAAGCTTGCCAAACACATACTGTATCAGTGTCACATTATTGTGGTTTATGCTAGGAAATATTTATTTCACATTTCATTCCATAATCACCGAGCCACTAATAATGCACCGACCAATCCACATAGTCTCAATTTAAAAACACTGAGCCTTAGAAATTAGCCATGAAAAGACAAGTAGTGTTTGTCAACTGCTAAAGATCGCCAGCTCAAGGTGAACAGGTCAACAGAAAGTTGTTTAGGCAAGCATTAATGTGAATCTAAAAAAAGGGAATTCCAATTGCTAAACATCATTCCACATGGAGAATTCCAGTAAGAAAGAGATAAAGTAGACAAACCAGCACCAACTGAAAAGGAGAAATGAAAATACAAGCATTATCAGAGGGAATAACATGTTCACAATTCACTGTACAAAACAACTACCAGAATAGATGTTTATTTGATTTCGCATTTACCACTCCACCAGAAATTGTTCGTAACTTGGAAGTGTATTAACACGAGTTCTAGTGATTGTACTTGATATCACAACAAAGAGACATAAACATTTTTTTGCATCACTTTAAAAGTGTTAAAAAGCAAGTGTTAGGGAACATAAAGCAGAAGATAAATGAATACCATAATGATAAAGAGCAACATAGCAAGAAAAGACAACAGTAGCTAAATGAGAACGTCAATAACAACCTTAAGTCCAAGAAGAATTTAAAATGATACAAAGAAACACAAAAGTACAATGATCTGGATTTCAAATAAAAGTCAGTTGAGAACTAAAATTAATGTTAGAGAGAAAGATTTATAGTACAATGAATTTAAATGGATTAAAGCTGAAAAGGGAGCAAAACAGTTTAAAGGGGAATTAAAGTATTATTTTTGGTCAGCTGAGTATCTGACACATGCAGAAATCCATCAACACCCTTAAAATTGGATGCAGTTTAAAATGGTTTGAGTTTGTTTGGCCATGTGGCTAATGTAAGGCTAATGTAAATTGATAGTATTCAGAACACTGGGACCAATTAGCACTATTTCAATGTATTCAAGGTGTACGTATTGCCTCTGCAAAAAATAGACTATGATAGCGAAACTATAAAAAGTCAATTACTAAAAATATAAAATTATTTTAAAAGAACAGATGAATTGGTTATTCAGCGCAATGGTGATGTGGACCTTGTTGGTGTATATTATCCTATTGAACAACAGTAAATGTGACAGTCACTTTCAATAGAAGTACAGTCAAACATGTTCAAGCAATCACCTCTATTCAGCAAACTGAAGCCTGTTAACAATCACCTTGGTGTGCCCCTTTAGTTTGGGTTCGCCACAAAATAAACCCTTACTCAGAGGCCATCCTTATTTAAAGGCCACTTTAGCCCAGTCCTCTGAGAGGTTGTTGAAGACAGGTTTGACTGTAATTTCAATGTGTGAAAAAGAATGAAGTTGATATGTGCTATTAGGAAAACAATATTTTGTCAATCGATTAAGAATATTGGGGACTATTTTCTGCTGTCATAGAATCATAGAATTATACATCACAGAAGGCAGCCATTCGGCCTATCATGTTTTTGAAAAGAGCTACCCAAATCAATCCCACTTGTCCCTCCTGTCCTAAAATATATCAGAAAACAGAAGTGTTAACAAATCATGTTTTGATGCAACTGTAGTTGATTCAAAAAGATGTACAACAGTGAACAATGTAATATTGCTTCTGCAATTCTCCACTCAGTTCTTTTCTAATATTGATCATACATTTAAGCACAGATAAGAGGCAAGGCTAGTGTTTTCCTGCAGGGAGGAAAATAAGCTGGAGGTCGAGTCACCAAGTGACCCACTCTTGGGTAACCCCAATTGCAACGAAAAAGCAATAGCAGTTGAGGAGGGATGAAGGGAGACAACAAAATAGACCAGATCTAAAATTCAACAAGGAAGGGATACAACCTTTCATAAAATATTATTTTATCTATTGAGTAAAGGTGGTATTTTTTGAGCCTTCATGCTCATCATGTGCTTTGCTGAAAGATAGAAAATCTTTGGAACATAGTGAATGCAAGTGTTTCAGCCAACAATGTCCCTAAATAATTTCCAACACAGTTAATTGTTCCTCTCAGATAGGTGACTTTTGTTTTCATATGGAAGAAATTCTTTTATTTTTTCATTTGGAATTACTAGCGATTTTGGAGAAGTATTTCATCCACCAAATACAATATACACATTGTTTGGAAATGTCTTAAACAGAGCTGACTGTGTATGTTACTCACCAAAGCAGGCCATTGAATCAGCTTATTCTTTGATCCCTGACACTGGCTGGGGTTCTTTCTCTTAGCCCACACCAGCTGGTCCTCCACCAAGAAAATCTGGAAATCTTCATAAACTTTAACCCATTCACGGTTTTCCCATTCTAAGTCATCAAATTCCACATATACCTAGGAAAAAAATAAATGGAAAACTCAATACAAGGCAAATGTCAATTATATACTCCAGTGAATGCTAATATTCACTTTCTAATTCTGAACCACTGTAGATTTGAGAGAATAGCTGAAGACCCCGACTCCCAAAAGGAAACCTAAAGTTTAAGTTCCAGGGCTATTGGTCACTATAAGCGGTTAGATATATTTTCATCATTTCAGAGATAGGTTGCTTGATGGGATTACTGTGTAGAAAGGAGAAAGAGATACATTTTCAAAAACAATCCTGGAGCTGAAGATCAAAATATCTTATTAAATGATTCCTCTGGAACCAACAGCAGATCCCATGAACAGACCATAAATATAACTCATAATCAATTTATTCTAATAAATATATTGTTTAAAGACAATACCCATTGACACACATTTGCTTATAGTTGATCAAAAAACAGGGGATTTTCCTGTACTGTAAGCTTGACAGTGAGCGACTGTGATGTTGGGGGTCATTCACCATGAGATACGCTACTTATAATTGAAGAGCAAGTGTGAATCATGCTTGAGTCCTACTCCTCAAACCACCAAGAGGATATGGTTTCAGGGTTAGTGCAATTCACACCCATTCCATTATAAACATGATAGATGTGAATTACACTGAGCTCACTTTTCTATGCCCTATTCAAAGCTCTAAACCAGCCCAGATTTGCAATTGTTTAAAAAAAAAATTTTTTTTGCACCCTTAAGGATAAATACAGGATTTGGCATCCCATGGTTTGCAGTCTGAAAGGATCGATGACACAAAAAAGCATTGATGACACCAGGAACTGGAGTCGAAGAGCATGATGCTGCAATGTTGAGCTGGGATTCTAGAAGCTGAGCTGAAATGGCCGAAAGAACTTTCTTCATCCAAATCATTGTAACCTTCCTGTATACAGCAGCTCAATTGCACACTGGGGAGCTTTTGGGGAGTGTGATAGAATGGCTCAAGTCTACCAGTTGTGATCAATGATTTTCAATCAGAAAATGTATATTGAAAAACACTGTGCAACAATGGTGATCACCTAACCTCTGAAATAAATATTTTCTGGTGCTGAGATTTGTACTTTAACTGCTTAAAAGGTTTGCATCTTGTTTAACATTACATTTCTTGCAATGTTTTCTCCCACAGCATACATTTCATAACCATTAAGAACACTAAGAATTGTATTTGTTTGGAGCAATGTAAAATTGTGAATCTGAATCTTTGTTATTTTCTATGAAATAATATGATCACTAAAAGTAACATCTATGTTTGTGAATAGTACATGCTGAGGTATAATGGCAGAATTCAAAATGATTTGCTCCAGTATGTCCTTTTATGAGACATCTTCAGTATTCACAGCCTTGTGAATCAGCATATAACATCTCACCACAGTGTTCTTTCATAGAACAAAAGTATGTGGTGTCAACTTAGTTCAGTTGGTAGCACTCTCACCTCAAGGTCAGAAGGTTGTGGATTCAAGCCCCACTTCAGGACTTGAACTCATAATCTAGGCTGGCACTCTAGTGCAGTATTAAAGGATTGTCAGAGTTGCTGTTTGAATAAAATATTAAAACTGAAAAATGATCATGCACCTTATCGTCACTGTTGGATGCTACGTAGAAAATAGTTGCTGCATTTGCCTTCAAACATAATCGCTACCCCTAATTGCAATTACCTTTGAAGTGCTTTGAGCTATTTCAATATGATGATGTACTTACTATACTGTAAAGTAAATTGACTGTATATTTTGTGGGCAAAATGCAGCAGCCAATTGTGCACAGCAATGTCCCACAAACAGTCAAATTTGACAAACAGTCACATTTTTTTGAGAGAATTATTACCCCCATTATTATTATTATTTCTATATCAAATGCATCGATTATTATATAAGAGGCAGATGCGAAAGAACAACATTTGGATCAATAACATGATTTCCCTGTTGCTCCACAGTGATTGTTTTGGATGGGTTTATTTCTTTTTCTTTGTTTTAATACATCCTTAAGAGTTTTGTTGGGGATGCTCTTTCAAAAACAGAATTAACAACTACTACAACCAGTCGTAAACAGCTGCCCCTAAAAATAAATGGACACCATAAAAATAAAGGGATATTAGAGGCGAGATATTTCAGAGCAACTTCATAGAATCATACAGCACAGAAAGAGGCCATTCGGCCCATCTTGTCTGTGCCAGTTCTTTGAAAGAGCTGTCCAAGTTATTCCCACTCCCCTGCTCTCTTCACATAATCCTGCAAATTTGTCCTCCCCAAATAAACTTCTCTATATTGAGGAGAAACAAAATTATTTTGTCAGGTAAGAAACCAGTGTTTAAAGCCTCCTTAAAAATGTACACACTTATAGGTGAAGTGATTTCATCCAGATACATAAACAATTCCTATAACCAGGATCTGATACAGTTCAAGATCCTGGTCCTCACCTTCAAAGCTTTCCACAGTCTTGCTCCCCCCTACCTCTGTAATCTCCTAACCCCCACCGTCCTGCTCGCTCGCTCCGCTCAGCGGGTTCCGGCCTGCTTCACGTCCTCTGCTTCGCTCGCCCCACTATTGGCGGGCGGCCCTTCCGCCACTCTGCCCCACCCTCTGGAACTCCATCCCGTAGTCCCTCCAACTCACCCACTCCCTTGCCTCCTTCAAGACCCATCTCACCCGTCTCACCCACCTCCTCTTAAACCACGTTTTCGATCTCCCTGCTTCCCCCCCCCCGCCCTCCAACCTCCCTGACCTGACCCCGAGCTCGGGTCCATAAGTCTGTCTGTTCAGCACCTTGGACGTCCTCCCGACGTGAAAGACACTTTACAAATGTAATTTGGTAGTACTGTTCTTTTACTTTACAGTATATTCTGTGAAGCGCTTTGAAATGTCTAGAAGATGTGAAAAGCGCTATATAAAAATGCAAGGATTATTATTATATTTCTGTTGGATGACTACTCTATTAAATGTCTATTCAATGTCATCTCATCACAAGACGTCCAATTCTGATAGCGCTTATGCAGCGGTTCGGTTTCAAAAAACGAAAGCAATTACGGAGACCAATAAGAATGAAAAAATGATTCAGAACTAACAATGAACATGATGAACAAACTTATTTACGGAATCAGTTAAGATAAACTTTCCTTGCTTTCTCTTCTATTTAATCTCAATCAGTGACACACAACTGATTGAATTTGCTACTTTGTTCAAAATTGTGGAATCTGTGATCCTTTATTGAAAAACAAAGCAGCTGGGAATGGGATTATAGTTTTCTGCATCACAAGAATCTAAAGTCAACCTTGCAAAAAATTATTCCAGTTCTAGTAGCGAAACAGAAAGCATGGTTTGCATAAGAACAATTATAAACTAGCTTAGTTCACATAAGTAAGTTGGACAGTAGCCAGATCTGTTTTTATGACCTGGAGAGTTTAATCAGATATTACAAATTATTTCTCAGCCAAGGAGGCAGGCAAACAACTACTGTATTCCCAAACCTCTGCCAAATCTGCTCTTAAGTCAATTACAGCTGAAATTCAAAATTTTAATTGCAGTTTTAAAATTTTGAAGCCTAATTCTTAAAAGAAAATGAATCTAGCAAAAGGTAAAAGGTATTTGCCTGCATAAATTTTATTATTAAAAACATCAATACTTCAATGCTCCTTTTATTTTTACACTGTAATTTAAAATTTGTGCTGCCATGTTTACCTACAAATATACAGTTGCTCTATTTCATAGCAAATCCTGAGAAGTGCTCCGAGACTGCCTTCTAATGTGATAAGATGCTGTACCAAATGCACAAATTATTATTATATAATATTAAACATATTTAGCTAAATTCTCTTAATTTGTTTCATTATTTTTATAGTGAACCTTTTCATAGACAGTGAAATATTATCTATTTAACTACTCTCCTTGTTTCATTATATTCTAACTGTTTGCAAACCTTATGAACTGATGCTTTGCACAACAATCCTTTGTGGATTTTTAAACAAGCTGCCCCAGGCACGGCATTGTATCTGTTAACAAAAATCATCTCAACTATGTAATCCACGCTTACTCTTATTTTCAGAATCAATGTGTCAATATGCAATACTTACATGCCATATTCAGCTTTGTTTACTGAATCAGAATAAATTCAACTGCATTAAGCATCTGAAATGCTGACTTATTCAAGCAATTAAGAGATTTGTTTTAAACAATCAACCTTTCATTACCTCATCTTAAAGAAACGATTGCGGAGGCACACTGACTATTTATCAGGGAATCTAAATTGATGTACTTTGTGCAAGTTTGCTCAATATTTACATTGGATAACAGAATACTATAACAACACAATAGTAACTATTTTTATGGTAATATTTTCTTCTCAGTTCAAATACACTAGTTGTAATCATTTAATAACAGTTTCACTATCAATTATTAGATGTGTATCCTTTTGAAAATCTAATCAGATATAATACTATCGTTGTTTTAGATATTACAGAGTGTTGCCCACCCTCTGGAACTCCCGGTGCCCCTCTGACTCCCCCCTCCCTTGCCTCCTTCAAGGCCCAATTCAAGACCTTCCTCTTTGACCGAACCTTCAGTCATCTTCCAACCCCCATCTCCCTTCCCCTCTTCCCCTCTTGATTCCAACCCCCAACACTTGTGCAAACCCGTAATGATCCAACGCCTTTGGCATATCCTCCCAACGTGAAAGGCTCTATATAAATGCATTTTGTTGTTGTTGCTTTAAATATTTGAACAAGGAAAAGGACAGTTTTAATTTTCAGAACTGTACAATTAGGAATAGCCTGATCAAACCTCAAGTTCCCAAAGATCAATATTGAACAACAAAAAAACTCATGCTGCAGCAAATGTGACACCTGCTTTAGTGCAGTCACAATTTGGTGTTGAAGCTATTTTAAGAAAAATATATTTTTAGAAAACACATTCAATGACTTAAGACCAGCTTCATTGCAACAGTTTCATTGCTTCACTGCATAGATCATTTGCAAACACCAAGTAAAATTA